CAACAAAACAAGACTCTCAAAACCACCTCCCTATCATGAATGATCAAGGGAAGTAGTTGACGATGATTCTTCAACCATTTGCATCACTCATGAATGTGAAACAATTCAAGAGTCAAGGGGTTCAATTAACGTCCAATTGAACCCAAACCAAGTTATTATCTTGCATCATTTTTAGCCTCAATTTTATTACTCCATCTTAATTACCTTTCCATTCTTTAATAAATTAAGTCCAAAGGTGAGCTTTGAGTTCTCTAAAGGAGAGAAGTGTCAAACCAAGAGTTGGCTTAAGGCATGAGAGGATGTCATGCCGTTGATAATGAACCCCTAAAAGGGATTAAACCATTAAGCATGACAACCTCAATCTCAAGCTTAAAAGAACAATCGGTTTGAAATAACTCTTAAAGCAAAGCAAAAGCCAAGAAAGGAGGGTGGTTGCAGAGGTGATTAAAGGTGATCACAAGTATGGAAAGCCATAAATAAAAACTATTAACTCAAATAGGATGGTGGCTAAGGCCTAAACCACCAAACTTATGAGGACAATTGCAGTACAAGCATACAATACAAAGCTCAAACGTAATGAACACTTAAAATAGTCCTAAAATAGTGCTAAATTAGTCCTAAAATATGCTGGAATTAAGCTAAACATAGCTAGAACAATAAGCTAAAACTTGGAGCATGCTAGGCTAGTAAACAAACACAAGGAGGGGAGGCTAACCCCTCTATTTTTGGGACTTCAAAACAACATTTTAGCTACTAAAATAACTCTGAAAATTAGTGTTTAAAAGCTCCAAAAAAAAAAAAGAAGATAGTGTAACGGTGGGAAACATAAGGGTAAAGGCCTTGAAAGCAAGGTGTAAAAAAGGGTGAACCACCCCTGAACCCTTATTGGCCTTAAACCACAAGTTTCAGCCCAAAAATACAAAGTTTATACAGCCCAAAAATAGTGGGAAAACAGTAGGAAAAAGAATAAATAAAGCAAGTAGAGAAGCAAAGCTTTAAACCTCTTGAAGAAGAGAACAAATTCTTGGTAACAAATCAAGGCAAACACACCCTCAAGAGCTCAAACTAGGCTCAAAGGTACCTCAGCTCCAAGATGGTAAGGTTTGCTTTAGAGTGTATAGGCAAAAGCTTGAAAAAAGCTAAGAAATTGCAAAAGAGAGAGAGAATTGTAGAGAAAGAGAATTTTTTCTCTAAAAATCTCATCCTTAAAAATGGAAGGGGAGGCCTCCTATATATAGAAAACCATGCGACTCCTTCAAAAATATCAATACATATATGTGTAAGAAGGTGCATACATAATATCTGCAAAACACACTTGTGGCCGACAGGCCACGTCAATGGCCGACAACCAAAAGCAGTGGACAGCAGCCAATAGAAGGGGTCGGCAGGCTACAAGAGGTTGTAGGCTTGAAAAACTCTGATTTTGGTCCAAAAATAAGGCAACAGACGTGCGGGGTTTGAAGGCTCAAAGCTGTGACATTTCGCTGAGGACTCCGAGCACTTAACAAGCATACACTCATCATTGGGTGTGCAAGCGGTGGCGTCCAAGTCATAAGGTCGTTAAAAAATGAGGTGTAATTTTTATTAAATCACTAATTGACCCCAAATTAGTACTAATATATATATATATACTTGTACCTTTAAAGCTATTTTATGCACCATATTTTGAAATTTTCAACAATTATACATAAGAAAAAAATAACTTCCTCATAACTTCCTCAAACCCCACCCCCACCTCCCTCCAACATGGCGGCCACCCTAGGCAAATGAAATGAATACAACTTTTTCAAACCATATCCATGAATTCATGGAAAAAGTTTGCAAGTACCCCCAAAATATGGAACTATGCGTCCACCCTAAGTTCAATCCTAAACAAAGTCTAACTAGATTATGATTAATTCCATAATTAAGACCTATAATCATTCACTATTTCATTAAGTTCCAAGTAAATCCAAAATATCCAATCCATTTCCAACCAATAGGTACTTTAGACCTTTTGCGCCAATTTTAGTATAAATAAAACCCCTCCCGTAGCATTTTACACACAAGAACACATACACAAACACCTCATTCGACTAACAAGAAGGGAGGGCCAAAGAGTGAGCTTGGTGGAAAAAAAGAAAGAAAGAAAAGGTCTTGCTAGCTAACCAACCAAGCCTCAAGTAAGCCACATCACCATCTCTCCATCTATTTCCTTTTTCAAATACATGTTATTAGAGATTTAAAATCATATTTCAGATGTGTTGTAATGGTATTCATGTGTTCAAAGTGGATGAATTGGGCTTTAATCCTTCTCTTATTCATATTTCCGCTTAATAAATGCAAAACTACCTTTTTCCTCCCATATCTCACATTATTTCCAAAGGTATACCATCACTCTAAAAATTTGAGTAATTGAAACATTATTTTTTATGTTTTCATCACAAAAGAAGTGAACAATTTCCCTTAGTTAGCCTCTTTTCTCACCCATATTCTCATTTTGAGTATTGTGCATGCAAAATTTGTTTTACAACCAACTTTCAAAAATTCTAGAACAATGTATAAAAATATACGAGACCTTGATTTTATGTCAAAACCTTCTGTAAAGAGTTATCTTTCAAGGAAAATTCGTTTCATTGAAAAAGAGTGAACGATTTGTAAGAAAATTCGATTTTCGTATCGATCGACAAATCTGGATAGCGCTGGAATGTTTCTTAAATAACTAAAAATATAGAAAAGCTATTCCATTTTTGAAACATGTTCTGAAACTAGATAAAATTCTCTACAAACCATAGGAAGGCCAGGTTCAGTAAAAATCTAAAATAGCCCTTTCGATTTTAATCTTTACATGGTACAGAATCTAGAAATTCTATTTTCTATTGGTATTTTATGTTCTTGTGTTCATGAATATGATTATTAATATATGATCATATCATGGTATGATATTACATATGTCATGGTTATGTACTTTTTTATTTTATTCCTTCGATGATGCTCACATTTATGCAAATTTATTCTTTCGTACTTCCTTGTACTAACTTAAAATGTTAATCTAAAAGGAAAACTTAATGGGGTGGCTAATGGGGTTTCGATCACATGAGTATTTTTATGACATGAAGTCATGTTCAAATTGAATTGGTTAGCGAACATGTTCCCTTTTGAAACTTAAAATCTTGCGCAAGTGGTTGCTCATAACCCTTGAACGGAGCAGTTGTATTTGGACCCTAGGTGGTTTGGTATGAGGAGGGAATGGGCAAGGCCCTATTTTACCGTTTCTTTTGAGGTCCTCGATTGGTGCTATGCTTTATACAACCATTGGTAGGTATCAGGTGTAAGGTCTACAAAGCAGCAAAAGAAGGGGCATACCGAATAAACCACATCCGATTCTTGGGGTTAGGAGGATGAAATCTCTTTGGGGGATTTCTAGACTACTAAAAATTAATCTTGTAACCTGTGTTATTTACTTGAATGTCATGTTCCTTTTCCCTATTGTTGTAATTGCTATTGTGTATTAGATTGGGAAAAAAGAGGATAGGGTATGTGTGCGTTTACTGGACATTCAAAGCTCACGGCATATCATGCCAGATGCCGAAGAGGAGTTTGCAACAGAAAATGACAAGCTAGAAACCTTCGAAGACTTTTGGTTGTCCTAGAGAAGTTAGAAATTTCTTTTGTGTTTTGTATAGTCCATCTGGAATTTTATTTTTGGATGTAATATTGATGGAACTAATTTTTGTAACTAAGTACATTCTGTATCTATTCTCTTATTATTATTATATGCCTGCCTTTTTAAAAACTAAAATAGTACCCTACATTGCTTATGAGACCTTGCGTCAATGCCTTTTAAGATCTGTCAAAAAGGTTGTGTGCTACCTAAGAAAGCTAGACTTAGAAGGGAGGCTAATTTGACTCCTCCGGTGATCTGGGATCTTACTTGGTCATTGGCCATAGGATTCATTAGTGACTTTCCCTTGACTACCACCCTTAGTGTAGATTTTGAGGTGTCACAACTTGGTATCAGATCCTAGGTTCAACCCTTAGCCCGCTTAACTTGATACGCAACTCTAGAATCCCTTAGCCTTGTACACTAGTGTATTTTACTATCACACTAGTATATCTATTTAAAAGAGACTAATAATTAAAAACTTTTCCCTCCACCATAGGACGTCATCGGAAAGCCGTCAAACAACCGACATTTGCCTGGACACATGGGTAGCCTTTCGCATGCAAGGTAGGAAGGCCTTGTCCGTCAATACCTACTTTAGACACCGACAATGTGAATTTGACGCTAAAGAGATGATCATCAAGAAGATACGAAAAGTGAAAACAGACTACTCTTACTATACGAAGGAGCAAAAGAGATCCTTGGTTCGACGCCGTCTGCAGTATCTGAGTCGCACAGTAAAGAGCGTAATCTGAAAGGAGCAAGATGACCGAAAGATGGACACCCTGATACGCCGACCTTGGTAGATGAAGCACCACACCGACACCCGATGCAAGCTAAGAGTGGCGAATCTCACTACCTTGACAACAGTCAACCAATAGAGGTGGAGTAACAACCGGTGCAGCAAGGAACAACCCTAGCATTTCCAATCGAGGTGTCATCTGAGCACGTTCCTCCTTCACCGATGTATACACCCTGCTCTCCTGGCCAGGCAACTGACTCGGCAGATAAGGATCCCGAAGTAGATTTCGGCTGGTCTAGGAATGAGAGTTAATTTAAAGGTAGTAAGCTAGGCTTTTGTAAGATCCACTTATAGTATGGATACTTAATATATATGTAGTAACTTTGTAACTAGGTTGTGTGTAGTGTCTTTTGAATAAAACTCTAATTTGGAAGCCTTTTGTACCGATGCCTATTATAAATATATGAATTAACGATTTAATCTATATCAGTTGACTGTTATTTTCTTTAATATTTTGCCACACCCTAAGAAAACTAAACCTTAATTTCAAGTCTAATAGAAAGATTACCTCCAACTAGAAATCTTGAAACCAACTTATCTCGTACCACGAACAGAATGGTGGATACGAGAACTAATGACTACTCAGAGACTAGCAACAATGCCCGGAACCATCCCAGAAATCAGCATGGGCCCGTACCCACGGGAGGCAATATCCCTAATAATCTTGGGCATCAAATTCTCGAAGAACTAGGACAACGAAAGAATAATCGGCAAAACAAGAGGACTCAACCCTTTTCAGAGTTTAGAAAACAAAGGCCTCCAAAGTTCACAGGAGTAGCAGACCTGAGAGTGGCTGAAAATTGGCTTCAGCAAATAGAGAAAATGCTGGACACTATAGGGATAACTAAAGATGCTGATAGAATAGCCTTCGCAGTAGTTGAGTTAGATGATGAGGCCGATCATTGGTGGGAACTAATCAAGAATACCCGTGACATGACAAACATGTCATGGAACCAGTTTAAGGATTTGTTTCTAAATAAACATTTTCCAAATACAGTTTGGCAAGAGCGAGTAAGGGGATTCCAAAACCTGGAGCTGGGGAATATGACCGTAACCCAACACACTGCAAAATTTGAAAAACTAGCCCGCTACGCAACTAGGTATGTAGTTAATGATGAAGAGAAATCAAAGATGTTTGAATGGGGGCTAGACCTTACAATCAGGGGGAAAGTTCTATCGCAACGATTTCACTCATATGCGAGGGTAGTGGAGACGACATTAGAATCTAAAAGGGAAGTAGCCAATGTTAGGAAATTTTGTGACAAGCGGAAAGGGGGTCAGACATCTGTAGGACCTTAGAGGAACCACAAGGGAAATACGGCCCTGAAGCCCTACTCAAGGCCACAACCATAACAACAACAACACCAACCTCAACAACAGATCTAGAAGGGAGGGGATCAATCAAGGCTGGCAGGACAAATCCAGTGCTTTCATTGTCAGCAGCTGGGGCACAAAAAGAGCGAATGCCCCCAACTCTGTCTATCAGGATACCAGGGAGGAGGTTCTAGAGCAAATGCCCAGGCAATGGGTGGATAGAAGCCCTGGTTAAACAAGATGGGATCTACTGGACAACAACACTAGAAGAGTAAAGGAACCTAGAATGCCAAGACCAGTGGCAACCAGAAGGCAACCGGCAAAGTCATTGCCTTGCAAGAAAAAAAAGGGGACCCATTTGTAATTAAGGGTAATTTAGTACTATGTAATTCTTGGGTGAATATTTTATTTGATACTGGTGCATCGCATTCTTTTATATCCTCTACTTGTGTTAAGTCATTAGAACTTGTGTGCGAACCCTTTGAAACTGCGTTAAGTGTAATATCACCTATGGGAGGGTGCATTCAGATAGAGTTGATCTATAAGGATGGTGAGATAGGAGTCTCGGACCTATGCTTGACTTGCCACCTTCGTGTCATAGAGATGTCGGACTTCGATATCATCTTGGGCATAGACGAGTTGTCCACTCATTGAGCGGTGATCAATTGCTATCAAAAGAAGGTAGTGGCTCTCGTGCCTGATGGAGCACGCTTCCAGTTTAAGGAGGATAGGCAAGATTCCCTGATTTCAACAAAACGTAGGACATGGTGGCACAATCAACTTGCGGTAAGGTAGCAAGTTTGATTTTAAATGAGGAGGACCAAACAAAATTAAAACTTCCGCAAGTAGTATACGAATATGCAGATGTATTTCCTGAGGTATTATCGGGATTGCCACCAACCCGGGAGATAGACTTTAGGCCCCGTTTGTTTTCAGAGGTAGAATGGAGGGGATTCATCGTGAGGGGATTAATAGTAAGGGGATTGATAGTGAGGGGATTAAGTAAAATTGTGCCTGTTTTGATGATAGTTGTTAGTATAGGAATCATTAAATTATTTTTATATAAAATAATAAAACAGATAAAAAAAATATAAAAAAATTAAACATTAATATTTAAAAAAAAATTCCCAATATATAAAAATTAAAAAATAAATAAAAAATTTCTAATCCCCTCACTATTTTTCTAATACCATCTCCACCTCCTCCATCTCAATCCCCCTTCTAACCTCCATTTATATCACCTCCTCCATCCTAATCCCCTTTCCAACTCCCAAAACAAACACAACACTAAATAACTCCACCTCCATCCTAATCCCCTTCCATCTACTTAACCCCATAACAAACGGGACCTTAGTATTGAGCTATAACCTGGAACGACTCCAATATCTATGGCCCATATCGTATGGCACTGGCAGAACTATGAGAATTAAAGACACGACTATAGGAGTTGCTCAAAAAAGGATTTGTTCGGCCAAACATTTCACCGTGGGAAGCGCTCATTCTGTTTGCTAAAAAGAATGACGGGAATCGGTACCTGTTCCCTAGGATTGATGATCTTTTTAATCAATTTAGAGGCTCAAAGTATTATTCAAAGATCGATCTCAGGTTGAGTTACCATCAACTATGAGTCAAGGATGAGGATATACCAAAGATTGCCTTTTAAACCAGATATGGTCACTACGAGTTTGTATTAATGCCCTTTGGACTAACCAACACATCAACAGTATTTATAAGCCTAATGAACAAGATCTTCACACCATATCTTGACCAATTTTAGTAGTGTTCATTAATGATATTTTAGTATATTCAAGGTGTGACAAAGAGCGTGAGCAACATTTAAGGATTATTCTCCAAGTTCTTAGAGACAATCAGTTGTATGCCAAGGTAAGCAAGTGTGAGTTCTGGTTAAAAGAAGTGAAATTCTTAGGACATGTAGTGTTTGCGAATGGGATCTCGGTGGATCCAACCAATGTAGAAGCAGTCTTAGATTGGAGACAACCGAAAACTGTGTAAAAATTTTGCAGTTTCTTGGGATTGGCTGGTTACTACTGAAGGTTCATTTAAGATTTCTCCAAACTAGCCAGACCAATGACTCATTTGAGGTAGAATAGAGTAAAATATGAATAGGACGAAGCTTACGAAAAATCCTTTCAAGAGCTAAAGAAAATATTAACTAGTGCACCAATTTTGATCATCTCGGAACAAAAAGTGGGGTACACTGTGTATTGCAATGCGTCTAAGGAAGGGTTAGGCTACGTGCTCATGCAAAATGGAAAGGTAGTCGCGTATGGTCCCAGGAAATTAAAACCACAAGAGCAAAACTACCCAATGCATGACTTGGAATTGTCGGCCGTAGATTTTGCTCTAAAGCAATGGCGACATTACCTGTATGGGGAATCTGAGATTTTCACAGATTACAAGAGCTTGAAGTTCCTATTTACGCAGAAAAACCTTAACTTGAGACAGAGACGATGGATGAAATATCTTGAGGATTTCCAGTTCACTCTCTCATATCATCCCAGTAAGCCAATGTAGTGGCAGATGCATTGAGTTGCAAGAGTAGGAGAATGATAGTTAAATTAGTCGTGAAGAAATGTGATATGGTTAAGACACTTGATGAATTTGGAATTTAGGTAGAGACTCAAGACACGAAGGTATACGTGTACAGAAGGTGATGCCTAAATTAATAAGTGAGATCTTAGAGGTCTAGAAGCACAATCAAGAAGTAGCCTATGTTAAGTGACGTCTGGAATCAAGAGAACCAATGTTTGATTGGGTAATTCACCCTAATAGGAGTTTAAGATATCAAGGTAGATTGCTTGTGTCAAATGACAAGTTGCTTAGAGAAAAAGTACTTAAGAAATGTTATCACTTTGTATTTGTGGTACATCTATGAGGGACTAAAATGTACCAAGACTTGAAAAGGCAGTATTGGTGGAGCGGAATGAAGAAGGATATGGCCAAATTTGTAGCAAGATGTCTAACATACCAGCAAGTGAAGGCAGAATATCAGAAGCCAGGAGGAACGTTGTAGCCCCTACCAATAGTTGAATGGAAATGAGAGCACGTGACAATGGACTTTGTGACCGGGTTAACCAGGACACCCAAACTGCTTGATGCTATATGGGTAATAGTGGATCGCCTCACTAAGTCAACACATTCTTACCCTATAAGATAACCAACACTTTAGAGTCCATGTGCAAGCTCTACATTGGGGAAATCATTCGACTACAAGGAATTCTGGTATCCATTGTATCGGATCACGATCCACGATTCACCTCTCATTTCTGGGGAAGTCTACAAGAAGTTTTGGGTATCGAGTTATGCTTGAGCACTTCTTTTCATTCACAGATAGATGGACAATCTGAGCGCACCATCTAGACATTCGAAGATATGCTAAAAGCTTATGTAATGGATTTTCAAGGAAGTTGGGAGCGACACCTACCTTGAATTGAATTTTGCTATAGCAACAGTTTTCAAGCCAACATTGGTATGGCGCCTTTTGAAGCGTTGTATGGGCGACGTTGTAGATCGCTAATTTGTTGGACTGAAATAGGTGAAGCAAAGCTAATAGGACCGGAACTTGTCCTAAAGACTACAGAGAAATTCAAACTGATCTGACAATGATTAAAGATTGCTCGAGACCATCAAAATAATTACGCGGATAGGAGGGGGAGACCACTAATGTTCAAAGTAGGCAACCATATGATCCTAAAGGTGCAACCAAGGCGTGGGATCGTACATTTTGGAAGGAAAATGAGCTATCACCACAGTATATCAGACCGTTTGAAATATTGGAGAAGGTGAGTAAAGTGGCATATTGACTAGCTCTACCCCTGTAGTTAGCAGGGATACATAACGTCTTTTGTGTATCTATGTTGAGGAAATATGTCACCGATCCATTGCACGTCATCAACTAGGAAGAAATCAGTCTTGACAAGGATGTTACCTTTAAAGAAGGACCTGTAGCAATACAAGATAGTCGAGAGAAGAATCTTAGGGGCAAGATGGTTCATCTAGTAAAGGTGCTCTAGCATCATTGAGGGATTGAAGAGTCTACTTGGGAACGTAAAGACTGGATGAAGGCAAACTACCCCCAATTGTTTGAAAGCTATGTATAGTTAAATTTTGATGATGAAATAGTATTAAGGGGGATAACTTGTGAGGCCCTTGAAAATTTTATTTTCTTAAAAGTCCCTTACTTTTAAATTATTTCTTTGAAATCCCTTAATTTCTTAATTAATTGCAATTTTAACCCTATAATCAAAATATATGTGCCAACTGAAAACTTGCAAACTCTAATCGATTTCAATAACTTAGGAATCATTTCTAATATCTTAATACTAATTAATTGACTCCCTAAATATAAAATTACCACTTAAAAACCTTTGTTTTTTCTGGTTTTATCACGTTCGTCGATTGATAACCTTTTTACTCAAAACAAGAAATCTAAACCGAATTAGATTCTCTAAACCTAATTTAGTTTAATTCTACACTAAAATAAATGTTCCAATTTATGAATTAAACCCAAAGCCCTCACATTTTTATTAAATCACTAATTGACCCCAAACTAGTACTAATATGTATATACTTATACCTTTGAAACTATTTTATACACCATATTTTGAAATTTTCAACAATTGTACACAAGAAAAAAAATAAAATAACTCCCTCAAACCACACCGCCCAACACCCCCTCCCCCCCAAAAAAAACATGGCCGGCCACCCTAAGCAAGTGAAATGAATACGACTTTTTCAAACCATATCCATGAATTCATGGAAAAAGTTTGCTAGTACCCCCAAAACATGGAACCACGCTTCCACCCTAAGTTCAATCCTAACCAAAGCTTAACTAGAACATGATTAATTTCACAATTAAGACCTCTAATCATTCACTATTCCATTAAGTTCTAAGTAAATCGAAAATATCCAATCCATTTCAAACCGATGGGCACTTTAGACCTTTTGCACCAATTTTAGTATAA